AAAATTTGTAAATAAAATCGTTTATTTCGTGTACCTAAACGGTAAGTATAAGAGGAATTGAATAATTAGAATACGAGTATTCTGACATAATTTAAAAAGTATGATCAATGTCTTTTTTACACGGTTTATTCTTACACGACTTTTTTGGGAACCAATCTACCGTAACAGAATTAGGTGTATATTCTTCTATTGTATTTTTTCGATTATCTGTCTGTATGAGTGTAAGGATCATCGAAAGAAAACCTCGTTAGGCAGGCTCCCCTGAGTCCGGGAAAGGACAAGTTAATTCTCTAATTATTGGAATTAAATTTTATTTGTTTTGTTTGTTTGTTTGTTTATTAATTCCTAGTACGACAAGAAGATTTCTTAACAGCACAACTGCAAAAGAAATCTTAATCCACAAAGTAATCTCTACCCATGCTTTGCCAGTCGCTCTTGTTGTTGTAATACAAGAAGGTTTAATGCAGTTGGTGAAGAGTGTGTAATATCCACGCTTCTGGAGTAGGGCAGCTCTGATGTGTATGTTATTGGTTTTTTGTTACCGAACTTAACAATTTTTGGATAAACAAAAAATTGTAGCTTGGTTCGGTAAAGACAACTCGGAGCACTGGTTGAATCAGAAACTACATTTCGCAAAACAAGGAATAAAGGACATGCCGGAGTACTAATTAACATATAAATTCGAACAGTTGTACCACAGTACCACAGTACATACTATATGTGCAGAATAGTCACACCAAACTCAACTCCTCTTGCGCTGGTCATGTGGTAACTTGATTTCCGCTTCAAATTTGTAATCTGAGCCAAAACGAACTCCAGAGTAAGGCCGCACACAAGGCGCAGTTAAACTGGATAAGTAACATAGCCTGCGTACCGCTGAGAAAATCACTTAAGAAAGTGCCACTGGTTCTGAACGGAAGTGAGTTTGGTTTATTCAATTAGGTGTCGCCGAGATACACGTAAAGTGATTAATTTGCACGCAAAACTCAACAGGCCGCTTGGCAACGCACATTTGTATAAATACAACAAGAACTTTGCAGTCCAACAACAGTCGCTCTAGAACCAGTTTTCAGCAAACAAACATCCACTGTCTTTGATTTGGCAGGCAGTAACCGCTCAAGACGTCCGCACCTTCGTCCTCGCCCACGCTATCGTCCACAGCGCCGCTCCAACTGTTGCTGAGAGCCATCAAGCCCAACTACCGGTAAGTCTCGAGTGCTTTTCATGTACGTCATCAAGTCACTTAACCAAACTCACAGACGCCACAAGTGGCACGCCCACAAATTTTTTGTGACGTATTCGCCCCGTAGTCCGCTTAAGGCACGTTACTCATTGGCGCGTGTTGGCAATTAGTTGAACGGTTTGTTTTTGCCATTTATTCGCTGATGCATAAAATTTACATAACTTTTGCATTTTCACACGCTTTGCAAACAGTTGACTTGTCATTGGTTTCTCGAACTTTATTGATATACTTCCATTTGATATAAAATGCAAACTCGTAAACTACTATGCATAATATTAGTTTTATTGAGGGTTTCAGCAAAGTGATTGTGCTTCATTGCAATTATAAGTCGGTCTGCAGTGGAAGTCAAAAATATATAAATTTTACATTTATTGTTTTAATTGCAATATTAAAAATATTTAAACACATGTTTTCTTACACTTAATTCAGCGCAATAGTCTGATTCGGGCGATTCTGACAGAATAATGATGAATTGCAGTACAGCCCTACTGTAATGAGTTTACGAGTTAATACAAAAGGAAATAGGTGAAAAGATAGGTCGAGCGAATATCTTATTTAATCTATAAAAACTTATACCTAAAGTTGTTTTTATACTCTCTACATTAAATGTTCAGAAGTATATTAGATTTGCGCGAGCTGAAAAATATAACAGGCAGAAGGAGGCGTGGCAGACCCCACAAAGTACATATATATATGTCTGTCTGTTTGTCCGTCTGTCAGTATGTCCGTCCATATGAACACCTGGATCTCACAGACTATAAGAGGTAGAGACACCAAACTTTGCACAAAGATGCCCTATGTATGTACGCTATGCAAGTTTGTTTTATTTTTTTCATTTTTCTTTCCCACTTCCCCCTTATGGGGGTTTTCCCGATTTTCCATTCATATAATCGCCTATATCTAGGAGACTGTAAGACTAAATTTTAGTCCCAGATGCCTTATGTGAATACGCAGAAAATGTATATTTTGGAATTTCCCTCCCTCCCCCCTCTCCCACGCAAATCGTAACTCCTGTAACTCTTGGAATTTCGAACTCAAATTTGGGAAATACCCCCGTTAATTATTATGTGTCCGTATGCCAATTTTCACTATGATAGACCGATTCAACAAGAAGTAATAGCCATAAATATATTTGCAGCTGCAGCGCTGCCCACAGCTGTTGTTGATGCTGGTGCTTTGGTTGACTGCAAACATGTTTTCACATACACGAATAGACGCGCACATACATACATACACTCAGATAGACGCAATTGCTTTGTATACATATGTGCAATTATACACCCTTTACGTGAGTTCGAATACCGAGAGAGGTCAAATCGATCCAAATTTTTTTTTAATTTTCTTAATTTTTTTATTTCTATAACTATTCTTAACATATGTACAGAGTATTTCAAAGTCGGGACATCCGACTTTAGCTTTTCACTTGTTTTTTTAATCCGTAATGAATAAAAATTCAAACTATTTTAAAACTTCAGAGCAAAATAACATAATTTCTTAAATTATTTTTGAAAATACGTCTCCGAACTAGACTGTTAAATCAGCCCAAACAATTTTTTGATCGACATATATTCGAGTCCGCTGCGAGAGGAAACTGGAAAATTGTTAAGCCAGTTTTAAACTGTAGCCATGCTGAAGGATAGCCGATTTTAACCAAAAACAAGATAGAACGCTACAGTCGAGCAAGCCCGACAGTAAAATAGCCTGGAGTCTCCACAAAAAGGAAAAATTAAAAAAAATTCAAAAACAATTAAATTATTTAAAAAAAATTAAATTAATTTATTAAATTAATTAAGAAAATTTATTTACATTCACATCACTTGTCTATGCTTGTTTACATACGTGTATATATAAGCAACAACAATAACAGCTGCGAGCAGCGCTGCAAGCAAAGCATGGGCAGCGATGTTATTTATGGCTATAACTTTCTTCAGAATTGACCTATCATGATGAAACTTGGCATACGGACACATAAGCACTAACTGGACGTAATTACTAAAACTGAATTGCGGGACTTATTGAAAAAAACACGAATTGCGGGGGAGTGGGGGGTGTATCAGAATAAAAAAATAAAGTTGACCTGCCTAGGGCTTAGGGGAATCTGGATACCAGGTTTGGTAATTCTAGCTCTTGTGCCTTCTGAGATCCTTGCTCTCATACAGACGGACAGACGGACATGGCTTCTGTGTGTTACATACATTCGCACAAAACTAGTATAGCCTTTCACCCTTTGGGGTGAACATATTAGACACATTGTTTTAAGACAGTCGGTTTCAGTAAGCTACCGATTCTGTCGGGTCTTTTTTATCCAAACTCCTTCGTTACTAGATGTAATGTAGACATGAAGAGACAGAAATATAGTACTATAGCTCGCGTATTCGTATCTAGCCTTTTTTCGAAGGGTATAACTAAGCAGCCAGACAAAGTGTAATTCGTAAACCAGTCACAAGCGTGCCGTGTCCGGCTTGAGGTTGTTCCAGACAAAAGAAAACCACGCGTTTTATTTCTGCTATTTGCGGGACTTGCCCCCCCAACTTTGTTTTACGCTTTACAATTTTGACTGCATTTATAGCGCCTTTTATTAATGACCGGCCGGCCGACACATTGCCGCATACAATTAACATTAATTATAATTTTGATACGATACTTCGGCAGCAGTTCGGCTGCGTCAGTTTTGTTTTGCTATGCATGTTCATTCACTCATTTACACGTATATATCTCATATATACTTCCTGCTGCTACTTTTGCGCGCCTTTTCCTAAAAAGCTTAATCAACTTTCTTCTCGTAGGCGGGGAGTTTTCGTCATGGAAAGATTTTGTGATCTTGGAACGCGGGGAATTTTTTCGTTACAATAAGAAAAAGTTGAAAAGTGTTCAGAAATAAGAAAATATTCACTATTTTATCCATTTTATACTGTTTTTATTATCATAAGAAATGCATTCTTTTTCTTTTGGAATTATTAAACTGGCTTAAGTAATACAGCAGCTAAAATTTAAAAATTGACACGAAGTAATTAGATTTTTTTAATTGATTAAAACTTTGACTTCCAATTCGCCTGCTGTATACCCTGTAGCTATTCAAAGAATAATTTGTATGCCACGTGCCATTTATTTCACCATAAATATCAGATGTTTCCTCAATGCAGATGGTAAGCCGATCAAAAAATTTGTTTGTTTATTACTCCAACATTTGAAATAATAAATTAATTAAATTAGAATATGTTGTGAGCTACTAGCACCCAAGTAGTCAAAATCCTTAATTTCCATATGAATTGAATTATCGGATCATTATCTGGTATTTATAAATTATTTATTTCTCTCTAATATATTCAAACAGTGTCTCACAGTTGTCAATATAAGCACCATAAAATCGTTCAACAAGATAATCATGCCAAACAAAATAAAGCAGCTAACACGACGCTCACTAATAATTGATTTCTGCGTTCCGCTCAATAAAAATAATTTGCATATCAACGGCGAATAAAACATTTTATTACGTTTATTGGTTTGCCGCGTTGCGCGCCTTTTCAGTTGAATCTCCCAGAGACCGGCTTTGGGTACTTTTTTTGTTGTTGTTCGCTGCTTCTTTCGCTTCGTTTTTTAGTTAAAGCTTTCGCATCTGGATTTTGGCGCGGTATATAATCAAGAGTCAAACGTGCGTGCTTAATTATTTTAGCCATACACTTGCCAACGGCGGACGTGCCGCCAGAGAGCCATAACCTTTACAAATATAATACCGGTATCCCTTTTTGCAGCCATGATGGTTACGCTTAAGCCTTTCTTGATCCTTGCGCTTATACTGAATGCGTTGGGCTTTTTGCAGTTCGGCCACGCCTTGCCATCCATCGGACACTATGGCAAGCGATTTGGTGAGTTTGTCGAAAATTATTTACCTCGCTCCCAGACTCATGTCAGCTCTCTGTGCATAATGCAGACCCAATAGCCGGCATTGACTTCATACAGATATGTCTGAACAATTGTGCGCAGTGCAAGCAAATGCTGGGCGACTACTTCCAGGGCCAAAGTTGCGCCGAGTCCTGCCTAAAGTTCAAAGGTAAAGCGATACCCGACTGCCAAGACATCGCCTCCATAGCGCCGTTCCTCAATGCACTCGAGTAGCGGCGGCACAGAAGCTAATAATATCCAAAGCCGAAGATGGTATTGATGGCGTGTGTATGTGTGTGTATGTATTTTTATGGCCTGTGACTCAGGCACGTACTCGTATTTGGGTCAATGCGATGCTCGACACGATCTTGGCAGACGCCGACGAAGATGCAGACGATGACAATGATGATGATGACGACCACGACCACAACGACTGTGAAATTGCCTTTTGCGATATAATTTTAATGCCTCCATATGAGATAAGCTTTGGGTTTCCAGCAAACCCATTTATCGTTTTGCTAACCGACTTATCCGTAGTGCTTTATAGCCAAAAATGTTCCTATAATATTTATGCGCGTACTTTAAGAAATATATAGAATAAACATCAGCTTCGATATAACTTTGTATTTTTTTGTTTTTATTTTATTTAAAAAATAGTTGCATATACAAAACTTACTACAAAATATATTAAAACCTTTTTAGTTTCCATTTGTTGTTTTGTTTACGGCTTTTGTTTGTTTCATTTTTAACTTACGCGCTGTATTTTTGCTATTAAATAATAATATGTACACGAAATTTTAGAATGATGCATGAAAATGTAAAAATCGTTGGAAAACTGCGGTGAAAACTTTGTAGCAAAAATGGCAGTGTCAGAACTAATGACTGGCTTTTCGAGCTAACGAAGGCACTGTGGCAGAGTACGAGTAAGAGGGAAATAGACTAGTAAAAGAGACTATAGAGCAGTGGGGGAAAAGAGGAAAATGCAAAGCTTAAATATGTTTGTGTGCGGACGACGACTTCTTGTAGCTGAAACTCCAAAGAACACGAGTAGGTATGCGTACCAGTTAAGCAATACAAAATGGCAATTACTTTCTAAAGTTGAGCAGTGTGTCGGGAATTTCATTAATGTAGTTCTGCGAAAAGTAAATTAATTTGTAGTTACAGTTCAAGTATAGTGTATAGTGTGCCGAATACTTACGAAGGCCGACGAGTCCAAGCCATGGCCGCCGAAGTCCGCCCATTTGCTCAAATCAATGGAGGGTATTACGCCGCTCTTGCAAGGAACGCGTGGATTTCTAGAATCAAATAAAGGTATGGTTAGAATAGAGTGCTTATAGAGTATGTACCCATCAATCGACTTACATTTCGTGATCGGGCAGGACCATGGGATAGATTTGTACGGTATCGATCAAATCGGTATTGTCGCATATCAGACGCGATAATTTCGCCTTTCGTATCTCCTGCAGCTGCTCGGGTGTAAAGGACGATGGCTGATTGGGCAACTCATACCAGAAGCGGTCGCCGCGACGCAAGTAGCTCATCTGTGTGGCAATAACGCAAGCGAAAGTGGGTCCCAGCATGGATCCAGGCAACGACTTTTCCGAAACTCCGCCAGACCACAAATCAATATCGGCAGGATGTCTGTAAGAATTTATAAAATGAAAATGAATAATCCGGTGGGATAAAGATATTTAAATGACTTGCAATATGCGAACACATTGTTGAATCCTCCATATTATTCAGCTATTTATATATTTTCTAGATTGAAATCTTTAAGGAGTCTGATTAGGTTACTGTTAATAGCGATTGAAAAACAGCCCAAAGGAGGATCAAATGGTAAATGAGTGATGAGAATGTAGGAAAAATATATTTGCTATTCAAATACAGAAAAAATGTTAACTATCATTGCTATTTCTTTATTAGAAACCAGGAATTCCGATTTGTAACTTCAATTCATGTGGCTGAAGACACTAAATGAATTTAAAAAATCCTTTAAATCCTCCTTTAAATCGGTCCAGTAGTTTTGAAGCGTTTTCAATTCAAATAAACAAACAAACAATCAAATCTTTCCTATTTATAGTATTAGTATAGATACATTTTATAGCTAGGAAGGATCCACCAAACGTACTTAATTCTTCCTAATCTATTTAAAAACTTTTTACAAAAACTGTTATGAAATTCATAATAGTTTTACAATCTTTCCTTACTCGAATATACTGCCATATCGCAATACTGTCTCATTCGGCATAGAGCCATACATCTCATCCCATGTGTTTGAGGTTGGCAGGCCACAGAATTTACGGAACTCCATGTAGCCGGGTATGCCGAATTCGCGACCCCTCTGCATATTGAAGGAGACCAGGTCCATGCCAAAGCGCGCACCCTCCTTCTTGAACAAGTGATTGGTGACTTCCTGCGTGATTGAGTCGTCCATAGCCTGTGCGACCTGATTCATCAGACCCATAAAGTATTCATCTAGTACACCAGCGCGATACAGATCGTAGGGGCGACGAATCAAGTCAGACAAACGCTTCGAGGCAATGAACTTATGCGCCTTGGACCAGCGTTCCACGGCCGTGGGCAGCAGCGAGTGACCAAAACGGAATGCAGCGCCAGCAAAAGAGTCAATGATGCCAGGATTCACATTCGAGTCGTAGCCATCCCAATAGCCATCCTTTTGCAGCACCAAACCGAATTTCTCCATAACCTCCTTACCCAGCAGTATGGGCAGGAACTCGTTGAAGGTTACGTGTTGCACAATGGCGATGTTGATGCGACGTGCTTCCTGGAACAACGTCTCATCATCCCAGTGTTTGTTAATGTGTGCCAGGCCCGTGGCCAGTCGATTGTGCTCTCGTGCCAGCAACGTATGCATGCAGGTCAGCACCAACTGCTCGTTGACTCGAATTTCGCCGGCTTCGAAGCAGTACATGCTTTTGTTGGGGCGCGTGCAGCCCTCGTCCGGAATGTCCAACTTAAGCGGTAGCAGGTCCTTTAGGCCGTACTCCTGGAAAACTGGATTCATCCGCAACAATCCTCCATAGCCGGTACGCAGTTTGCGTGAGAAGCCTTCCTTTACACCGTACACAGTATTGGCATCAATAACTCCCGTCAGCGTGTTGAATTGTTGTCTCGAACCTGCAAGACGAGTGGGAGAAGTCTGTCAATTTTATTGTTATAGAATCGGAAATATAGTATAGTATATATAGTTTGCCTAGGTCTATTTTATATTCAGGATGGGGTTGCCAAAAATTAAATACAAGATATATCTGTTGGGGAGATCAATGGGGTGCGATTTTCTCAGCCTCCTCACCAACCTGACAGTTTTACTGTTATACAATCTGCAATATAGTACAGTATACTTGTAGTATCTCTATGTATTTACGGGTATGTGTGCCGTACAGAATTGCAACAAAGCAGCAAAAACAAAACCATGTACTGGAGAGATTGGCCATTTATGGCTATAATTTCATTTAATGTTGATTAGTGTGTCAGACTAAGTTTGGTTTTCGTAGCTCTTCATGCAGATGGCACAAACGCTTAACCCTTTATATCCCAACTGCTCGGATTTAAATAAGCTTAATTTTTGTGACACCAGTCTAAACCCTAAACTCATGAGTAGGCTAGATTGTAGAAGATAAAAATTTGAATTCAGACGAGAAAAATAAATTCAACAAACGTTCTTTTACTTGTATGTCAGCCTGTGATAAGGTCATTGGCTTCTTTGTCTAAGCTGGTGAGTTATGTGCTTAAGCTACTGATATTGTTTTTATCTCAAGACCATCTTCACGGGACATAGTCGTGGAATCAATCAGATGCAACTGAAACCGTCTGCGTCGCTCAGATTTCAGATGCTGGCGACTGACAACAGTTGGTGTTAACTCACCCAAGCGACAACCAGGCCGAGGCGATGGGAAACCACGCACGAAATCGATGCACTTGACATTAAAGAGGCGGTAGAAGTAATCGTCATCGGGCACCCGAATCTCATTGCAGTATGGATGCTTCAGATGCAAAGGCCGCTTGCAGCACTCCTCCGGATCGTTGCGGTTGACGGGGTCTTTAGGAAGATATCAGTATATTAGACAACAGTAGACACCAAAAAGGTCGTCCAATGCTTACCCAGTGGCGTGCCTGTCAACGTGAAATCGTGATCCATGAACTGACCCCAAGCGATGACCATAACAGTGCCGGCATGATCGTGATAGCCGTCGTCGGGATGCATGGTGCGTGAGACGACACGTGAGAAGGGCAAGTCGCGACCGGTAACAGAAATGCGAGGCGCATTAATTCCATCGGCATAGAGTGGTCCAATCAGGCGCTGGAAAGGTGAGTTCGCCGCACCCCACGTCGGATGCTCAATGTTGTTGCATAGACCGTCAAAGCGGCGGTACTTGCCCGGCCGGCACTCGACGCCCGCAAAGAAGGGCGGACATATCTCTCGTATCAAAGTCTTTGAGGTGTCAATGGTGGGCAGACCCTTTTCGATTTCCTCATACGACAGCCCATATCTGTAAAAAGAGAACAAGCATGAGCATGTTTTAAGTCACATTCGTGTATATTCAAGTATTGACCAAAACCAGTCTTGTCTGAGGCATTGCGATTAGACACGCTCACAACCAGCGGATATCGCTCAACTTGGCGTTTTCCTGTCTGTCAACGTCTCAATTCTTACTTAAATGATATTTTCTCATTTTAAGAAATTACCAACTGCACGAATTAGTCCAAGCGATTAGATCTGTGTGAGTGTGTGACGTGTTGCCAACATGTGCGGGCCGAGCAATAGCGTGTTGCCATTTTCTTGGCCGGGCCGGAGCTACCTTTCCTTTTCCATTTTCGCTGCTTGCAACGATAAGTTTTTGTGTTTATGGTTATGCAGCTGCCTTCAAGCCAGAAAATATTGCCACTGTGCTGTGGGCTACGTCATAAATTTAAGTTGGCACTTCCTCAAGTGCACAAGGGAAAGGAAAAGGGCGACGAAAAGTGCTTTGACTTGGGCGCAACAATTGCGAGAGCCGTGAAGATGGTGCGATAGTGCACAAAAAACTCGTGGCTTTCGACTAAAAAACTTCACAGTCAATTGAGCTAATGTGAAAGAGGTCACGTGACTGGGGCTTGTGTCAGCCAGAGGCAACAATATGGGAGGCATGACTGTTATTGATCTACTATTTATATACTATTGACCACATGCTAAGCCATGGTACATTGAACATTACCTCCAGCTTCATATTTTCTGTTAAATAAAATGAGAGAAGGAAAAATAGGTCTTCAAGAAAATCAAGAATACACACAACTGGGTGCACATTTAAAGTTTGTTGGTGAAAGGCTGACATGCATTTTTATTATTTTTGGTTTCCTTGGGAGCGTCTACTCCAACTATTTACAATATATGTATACATACAAGTATGTAATAAAAAGCATTTCTACAGATTATCAGAATTTTATTTTTGCAACTTCTAATACTTTCATTTAATTTCATTTTTTCAATTAGGAGTTCATGAAAATGCCAAGTTGATATTTGTTGGTGAAAGGCTGACATGCATTTTTAATAATTTTGGTTTTCTTGGATGTGTCTTCTTAAACTACAAGTATGTACAATATGTACGAGTTTGTCTAACAACAAAAATTATTGGATATCAGAATTTAAAATTTAAATATGTCTAGTATTTTTGAACACCATTTCTTTTTTTGAACGTTAATTTTCAATGAACCAACAAGCTGCCTTCATCCAGGTGCATTACCACCTAAATCTAATTTATTAATACTTTATACTAAGCTTAAACCTTTTAGCGAAGCTGCAGAAAAGCAGACATGACGGGTAATTCAAGAAATGAAGTCCATAAGCAATAAGTTTTTTTTAATTATTTCGAAGTACGTGTTTGCTGGTCATAGTACTCGTATGACACTATTGTGAGGTAATACATGCAATTGTTACCAAATGGTTCTCAATTCCATACCGATTTGAAATGTCATTGCTTAAGTATTTTTGTTATTTCCAACCCAAAGCCTGATAGAGGTTAATACTCAAATGCAATTTTGAACCCGCTCTGAGAAAAATAATGAAACAGAGATAAATATGCCATCAATCTAAATATGTGCAATTAACTAACTTGACAAATAGGCAATATTGATTTGAGGATGGCCGGATTGCAAAAATGTCTTCAATGAGCTGGAAGTTTTTTTGTTGTAATGATATTTGCTTCGTTTTATAATGGCTCTATTAGCTTATAAGATTTTATTTTAGCATTTCTAATTTATCAACTATGTATGTACTTATCAACTCATGTTATCATGAAACAAAAAACAAAGTCGGCGTCTCAGCTAATTATCCAAACATTTGATTTTAATTTAAAATACTTCCGAAATATTAAACAAAGTTAATTGAAACGTTGTGTTTTCTCTTGTCTTCTAATGCATTACGATTGCCAGTTTTTCGTGAAATATTGCATTTTGTATTTGTTTTAAGACTATCATTTAAATTTATAATATCAAACATTAAATTAATCATTACGTTTTAATCTAAAAACTATTCAGAAGAAATTTGAAAACATTTCATATTAAATGTTCATAAAAGTATGATGGTATATACCTAGTTGTCGGTGTGTAAGATTTCAGAAATACTTATAGCAAAGAAAGGCAGACCAAAGATGGGTAATTTAATGTAAAAGTTAAGAAACAAATAACAAACATTCTGGTGTTGAACAAATCTAAGTGTGGCATTTAAATTTGTACCTGTGGCTTTTTCAGGCAATTCATGAGACTTTTATCTGGAAATTTGCTTAAATTTGTGAGTCGCTACATATTTAAGAAACCCCTCTAACTGACCTACCGGTACATATTTATGTGTGTGATATTCAAAACCCGTTCACTGTTTTACAGAATGCCATAAAAGAAACTCAAATTTGCATGGCATAAAACTTTAACAACTATAATTATCATTCGTAAAGACGGTCGCAATTCAGCGATTATACAACTGTAATCGAGGCCCGCGCAGCTCTCGGCCGGCAGCTGTTTCCAAGGCTTGCATTAGATGAGCAGACGCAGAAGTGTGCCGCAAGTGAAAGTCGTGCAGAGGATGGTAAGCTTTTAAGCACAGGCTGGCCAAGTGACTCGACAACCCGCTTACCCACATTTTGATTCAACCACCCTGGGCAGCCCCCCTCCTTGCGGATCAGTCGCATCAGTTGCAACAAACCACCCAGTTGGCCAACCACACTGCACTGCACGCAACCACAAGAAACTGGAAATGTTGTGTGGCTGAGCAGCATCCTCGGCAACAAGTTGCATCTTTTTAGCGGCGCTGTTGCCAATGTTGGCAATGTTGTTGCTGCCGTTGCTGCCGTTGCTGCTGCTGTTGTTGTTTTGGTTGCTATTTTTTGTTGCTGCTATTGAAGGGGGCAGGAACGCGTCACGCGCACTCTCACTGACTGTCTGAGCGGCGATTGCATAATGCATTTGTTTACATTTTGCACTGCGAGCTCAACAAATATTGTGGCTCTGCATTTGACTGCTTAACATCGGATGGCTTCACCAAAAATGCCGTCTTGCCAGTTTGCAAGAAGCGCCAACAACAATTCCAGCTCTCCGAACAGCAGTCCCTCCACCTTCCCTCCACCTTCCCACCAGCACCACCACCAGCACCACCACCTGCTCCACCGCCTGTCATGTCAAAGTGATTTCGACTGCTAGACATCACTCACAGCCAGCGGCAAATTTTGCGTTGCAATTAGCATTTGCATGTGCCAAACTTTCAAATCCATACATAGATACAGCTACAGATACAGATACATGCACTCTTTCTATACCAAAAACTGACACATAGAACCTTGAAGGCACAATCTACTGCATCTCATATGCACTCGTACCGCTACATACTCGTACATACTCGTAAGTAGTAATGGCTGCAGGCGTCTGGCACGACTTCAGCGCCATGTCATGCGTTATTTGGCAATTCGATTTTTTGAGCGGTGGGCGTGCCTTGGCAACTTTCAAATGCGTTTAACATAAATTTCGGCAACGTTTACTTACGTCCGCGCCAGCTGAATGGATATGTCGAGCAATAGTTCGCCAACGGTGGCCAGCTCCTCAGGCTTCCAGTCCGACTTTGGTTGGGCCACATCTGCAAACAATACAACATCAATATAGACATGCGGAGACAATTCTTAACTACGAAATGTCGCTGATGAAATTATACAAATTATCATCGACATTAAAGAAAATTTATTTACTTGAAGCCCAATATTGTGTTTCAGGTGAAATCTTTTTAGGTGCATAAGAATATATTTAATTCTGAATATGTTAAAAAGACGGACTGGATTGACTGACAAAGAAGTCGGTAAGAACCTGTACAGCCTATTTGTACCTTCATCTTCACCACCATCTTTTAACAGCCAATAAACTATATTACAATTTTTACTCTCCACCCTTAAAAAAATATAAATACAGAAAACGACACAGAACTCCTCCTTGCTAGTTGAATGTGCTGTGATTCCTCTAACTAAAAATATATACTACTATTTTGTAGATGTGCTTGAACAATAGGTTCAGCTCTTTTTTTTTTGTTTTATATTTTAAACATTTATAGTATAGTATAGTATTAGTATAGGTAGGGCAAGGAACAGTTGGCGAATAAATTTGTTTGTTTTCTCAGTATCGCAGTTCTTACTTGTGCCCATAATTATATTTATTTTGTATTTAATTTAAAGATTACTTTAAAACCTGTTGTCTACATGGTTGAAGACCTGTAAAAGCAACGAACATTTCAAGAATAAGAAAAGTTGTTAGGATGTTCAGAGAGGTAGATTGACGAAGTTTAGGACGCATAGAAACTTTATGCAGTGTTCAATCAAAACCTTAGTAGATATTATACTTATTTTTAATTGGGAAATATACTGGAACGCACTTTATATTTCTCTAAAAAGCATTACTGCTGGTATTTTTAAAGTAAGCATATTCAACTAAGTTTATCATAGATTCAGATATTTACGATTTCATATTGTCTACATTTCTTCGACAAACCTGCACTCTTTATTTATTTTTTATTATTTAGTAGCCAGCTCCCAACTCAACGAAAAAAAGACTTACGTATACGCTTGCGAGCATCCAAATAGGCCGCATTGATGGCATCATAGGTAATGCAAGTGCTGGAGCCGCTGTTGTAGGGGTTTCTGCAAACAGATGGAAACAAAGAAGTGTTGAAAGAGTGTAATAGAAATTGGCAATAACAAGCAATTTGTCGCTTATCACATGCGTCCCACGCAACAGCCTGCGCACATAAGGATAATCAAATTATTGCCAGGCGAACGCTTAAGGCGCCACAGCAGCCCGAGCAGCTCGAGCCAAAGCTTGTCCTGAACCAGGGCACAGTTAATGGAAGAACGTTGAGCTGGAAACATGGAAGAGGCACGCAGCAGGCTAACCAAAATATTGAAAGGTCAGAAAATAAGCTGCATGGATAAGGCACGTGAATTGGTGGCTAAAAACTGCAGCAGTTGGCAGAAAATGCAAAAGTTTGCAAAATGGATCAAAGTCCTATTGCTAGCCATTGCCGTTCTATATGCACTATATTTTTACTACGAGGAGCTCCAAAGTCAAGTGAGTTTAAACAAAATTTCTATAACTACAAATGAGAATAAAATGTAAAATGACAAAATAATATTTTGAAGCCAATAAAATATTACATCAGTGAGTATTTAATTCAACTTTGTATCTTAAGCCAAAAAGGTACATTGATTCTGATTTAAAGAATACATTGAAATATAATCATATTCGCAATGATTTTCGGTAAAATATTGATTTTTAGTTCGACCTCGAAATTGTATACTCTAAACATGTCTTAGTTTAGTCAATTTGCTGAAACCGATTTCAGACTTTTAGAAATTAAACAATAACAAATATTCACTGGCATAATTTTTGTAATCCATAATTTGTAACAAGATGCTTACTATTTGCACAAAAAAAGTGCTTATCCAAATTATTATAATTTTAAATACAAAGTACAGCAATGGTAAAGTAGGAGCTAAACAAAATCTTTTGCCGTTATGTTTTATTTCAATAACACACATGGAAGAATATTATATGATCAGTCATCACGTTCCCCGCACTCTTGTTTTCCACAAGCTCAGAGCTATCGCTTTGAAACTTAAAAACGAAGAAATTTTTTAAGATACCGATAATACATGAGAGAAGCTGTATGATTCATAAAGGGATTTTTTCGAAAATATATATTTGTTTATTTATAAAGGTATTGGAAACAATTGTGTTGCATTATTCTTGTGTCCCAAATGGTGAACATAGGAAACTCAATGTAAAATAAGTAAAAAAGCTTTCTTCTAAATAAATTCTATGAACGGGTACCGGAATATAAAACGCGATCTTCACCATTTAAAAATGTTGATGGACATTATGAGACATAAAACCAATATTTTTCGAGTAAGGTTTCGATTTTATCCAATCCGACTGTAATTAAAAATAAAAATAGCATTTGCTTAGTTAGTTTTTTTTAGTTACTTTTATTCTTAAAACATTCAGACGGGCGAGAGCTAAATAATCCAATTCATTTTTTCCAAGCGCTGTGCTCTGACCCTGCCACGCCCCCTGCGTTATGCAATGCGCCCGCCGGAGCGTTGCGACTTCTGCGCAAAGATCAACGAAGTGCCACGCCTTCGAGACATTAGTCCCGCCGACTTCGAGGCCAAGTATGCGTACAGTGGCGCGCCCATCATTGTCAGCGATGCTACACAAAATTGGACAGCTCCGACAGTAAGTCCGCACCGGTGGTCGTATAACTCATTGGACTCATTCTTGTGCCTTTGTGGCAGCTTTTCAACTACTGGTATTTTCGCAATGTGTATCACAAAGCTAAGCACAAGGAGCGGATACGTGACTGTCAGTTTCTGCCATATAAAACGGGGTTCCGCGACATTTACGAGGCACTGGACATGTCTGTGGAGCGAGTCGAGTTAAAGGAGGGCTCGTCGCCCTGGTACTTTGGCTGGAGCAACTGTCATGCCGAAACGGCTGAGGAGTTTCGGCGCCACTATGGCAGACCCTACTTCCTGCCTGAGAGCTCTGAAAACAATGCAGTGGATTGGTTCTTCATTGGCACTGCCGGACTGGGTGCTCAAATGCATGTGAGTAGGGACAGAATGGGAGCTGCATGTGTCGACTGATGTCAGCTTATCAATATAATCGTAGATTGACAATGTTCGGTTGCCATCATGGCAAGCCCAGCTAGCGGGCAGTAAACGCTGGCTCTTGGTACCACCCCCAGAATGCTACTTTCGTTGCAGGAGACTTGATGTTGTTGTACAACAGGGCGATATCAGTAAGTAGAAGCACATTAATGATAATCAATTAAGAACCTATTAAACTGTTAAATGGCCTATATTTAAAAGGGATTATCAAGTTTCTAATCATCAAGTCGCAAAAAAGGGTTCCAAAATATTGCTTTATAGTTATAATTAAAATTAATAAACTACAAATTTTTGTAGTAGTGGTTGAAGTATATTGGAAACACCATATACGGTGTATTTATTGTATTCATCTACAATATGATCGGTTTGATGTATTTAGAAATTTTATATATCTAAGACATTTATGGAAATATGAATTGATTTATACGTTACTCTTGTTGTTTTTAAAGTTTTATTCAATTTTATTTTAAGCCTGTTTACTCAGTACCCAAAGAAACTTCCAACGCTATGTATAAAAAAGAAGATTAATAAAATTGAGAAAAAGATAAGCACGTGTTGCCTAGAAATTAGGAGAGTCTACATAAAAGTTAGGTCAATTGGGATTCAATCGTTTCCGAAATCCAGGAGTTCATCTATGTTGGTCATCATGTGATCAATCAAATATACTTTATCGGGTGGGAGATGCTTTCTTTTTTCTATTAGCGTACTATATGTACGCTTTCACAGTTCTAATATTGCTTTATACTTACAGTATTTGATAATTTAGTTGATCCTACTACTCTCATCTTAAAAATCTTCTTTCAGTTGTCTTGGACACAAACAAGTGGTATCATCAAACATTTGTGCAGCCTGGCGTCGTGAGTCTGACGATTGGCGCGGAATATGACTAATCAGAGCTATAGCTATCTGAAAAGTTGGCGAATCTACAACAGGAAATCGCTGACTGCTGCATTAGGCAGGCTGCGACTTTAATTTAACATTGCATTTTGTAGCCGGTTGTTTAATTAAAAAAAGCCCAAAGCACTCAAATGTTTGTTGTTGTTTTGATGCAGCTGGGGGGGGGCTAGGAAGGAAAAAATGGTGTCTCCCAAAAAAGGGGGGCGTACTTAGCTGACACGCAACTGCAACTTCCTCAAATGGCTTGGCGTTTTGGCGTGGCATGTAAACGGGTGTCAGGCGACAACGACGCATGTTAACAATGCGTAAGTATTAAGTAATTACAACAAAACAAGAGCAGCAGTAATTACAACAACAACAGCAGCAGCAGCTGCTGCAACACGTTGCCAAGCACGCAACGCCAACGACAATATGTGAGCGACATTTTTCACGAACTTGCGCGTTGCGATTTCAATTTTTCTATTTATTTAATACATTTTTCGCTCGTCGGTATTTGTTTTGTTGGAAAATTTGTCAAATGCAAAATTGCGGAGCATATTGCCCGCATTTGGCATTCGAGGCATTAACTGGTCTGCCGATTTATATCGCTTTATTTATTGCGTGTGGAAAGTTCAATGTGCGCATAGCTGCTGCGTGGACCCGATTCAACGTCGCCTTCGACTATATTTTGAGGCAGGGACTCGAGTCAAGTTCAACTAGAAAGTGGCTCGACAGACGTTTGCATGCGGCACGCACTGCCGGCAATGGCTATGGCATCGACAGCGACGACAACAACGACTTGTTATCCTGATTGCCGCGCCAAGTACTTGTGTTGTGGGTAAGTAAAAAATAATGTTATGAAGTTGCATCGAAATCGATACATGCGTGGCACAAGTGCCCAACGCCAACACTTCCTGAAGCTGCTGCTCTTACTGCTGCTGTTACTGTTACTGGTACTGTTACTGCCGTTGCTACTGCTGGCAGAAAAGTGAAACTGTATTAAGTTGCTGCATGGCGTATGCGCAATATTTCAACTTTGTGTGTGAATAATTGCAAAAGCGTGTCGTAAATTCAGACAAGTATTCAAATAACACTTATCTATGCGTATATGAAATTGTCTGCCCCATGGCATAAGCGATTGTACACTCAGAAAAATTCAAGTAATACTTTTTACATTTTTAGTGTAATGGTTGGGATAGTACAAAATAATAAGCTTCGAGGAACAACATGTTTTCTTTAACAAAGAAAATACAATATTTTAACTCTTCCAATATCTCTTTATAAACTTTTAAGCAAAACGGCATAAAGCTTTGTTTAATGTTTCCCTGAGTGTAGACTGCGGACAGCGAAGTCAAAGCTGCCGCTCCCCTGGCTACTTCGCTACGCACAAGTCAAAATTCCAGTTGAAAGTAAAACTGCAAACCTGTATTTATCTTTTAAGTAGGCTGGAGTTGATTTATTTTTACATTCAAATTTGTTGGCCACAAAGTTCAATAGCCAAATATTTGCGAAGTTGCTCACGATTCTTTTATTGCTGCTGCACTTGGGTCAGTCCACCACTACTGCTGGCATTCTGCCATTCTGGCGGCCACAGAAATTACTTAAACTTTTGGTGACCCCCACCAAAATTTGTATGCCACATTTTTTCAATGGCTGCTGGCGGCTGCCGGCTTGCGGCCGGCTGCTTGGATGGCGTGTGACATTTGAAAATTTATCTGACAGATATGCAACTGCCTTTGCCGAAGTTCAGGCATTGTGTCTGGCAACAATGTTTCAAAGTCACTTTTCGAAATCATTTCAAAACAAAAGTTTGCCATCAATAGCAAAAGGCAATCGGAGCTGCCAGCTTTCCGTTGGCAGTTGGTTGCTCAGGTGTCTTTTTTTTCACGCTGCATGTGTTGTAATGCTATTTGTTTGCCTTTTTGTAAATGCACTTGTTATTGCTGTTGTTGTTGTTGTGGTTGTCGCTGCTGATGTGGCTTTTTGTGTGTGGTTAGCATTGCTTGCAGTATTTATGCCATACACAACGTTTTTATAAAAATAAATCGAAAAAGTTAGTCATGTGACGAGTCGTGGTAGTTATTGTTGTTGTTGTTGCTATTGCTGTTTATGTTGTTTTGGCTGTTTTTGTCGTCTGCACCTCAAGTTGACGTTGACTCCATCAAGCCGCATCACATGACGCCGCCAGCCGCCAGCCGGCAACCACCAAACGTCACCAACCTCCGTTAATCGCCGAGGCCAGAATCCACATGCTGATTGCTGCTAACGAGCCGCGCGTCAACGTGCCACACATTGTGGCAAGCAGCAAGTGAAGCGTTAAATTTAGACATCGTGCCTTTGTTTAATGCACTTCTTATAATATGAATTAAATCTTTATTAGGCAGCACACACAAAAGGCGGCCAGCGCTGTCAAGCAGTCGTTGAAACACATGTTTTGATTCCATTCAATGCCTTCAGCAGTTGGCGATGATAAAAGATCGTCATGTGTGACCCATTAAACGATTCTGACACCGATGCCTATAAAAGCCGCACCCGGAACCTATTGCGCCCACACCCACTATCCCAGTCGCGTCGCCAACATGAAGTCTCTCACTGTTCTGCTCATTGTTGTCCTCGCCTTCTGCGCCATTAGCGAAGCCAATCGTGCTCCTCGCTGCCGAAGGGCTTGCAATAGAGCGTACATACCAGTCTGTGGCGAATTAATTCGGGGCAAAGCAATTCGATGCACGTTCTCTAACAAATGCATCCTGGAAGTTACAGCTTGTGTAAACAGACAAGGTATATATAGCGAGAAATCATTGCTGTAGATCACTGATATAAACCTTTTAATTACTTGCAGATTGGCGAATAGTCCGTGAGGAGGCATGTAAGAATCCTTCCCCCCGCTGCTCAGAACTATTACGCCTTTAGAAATGAGGAAATGCTTTCACAAATGCTGCCTTTTTATGTATGTGTACTTCTTATATATTAATTATTCCACACAAAAATGCAAAAATAAAATCTATATAATTATAATCCATACCTTATTTATCCTGGTATGACAAAACTATAGTAATTCAATTGGTGTAATATAGGCTGTGGTTATTTAAGTATATGTATCAAGAGCTTTATCCGCTGCTTTGTGAGTTCCGCTCGCTTCAAGTTTCTCAAACAAGACACTATTTGCTGCGATTGGGCGAAATGGATAAGAAATCATTTTCCGACAGCCTGTGTAGCAGTGTTGGATGATTTCCGTTTCACTTTAGCCAGGAAAAACGGTTTTTATTTAGCGCATTTTTCGCTTACTTTAGCACATTTTTATTAGCGATTGCGCCAGAAAATATAATGGGTTTTCCAATAGAAATATCAGAAATATTAAAAACTCAGCTGATCACTGACCTGCTGGCTGTGAGATTGACGATTTCCTAACGGGAACCCATTAGTGAAAATTAGAGTGAAACCGCAACAGGACAGGAAAACAAATGTACCAATATGTATCATAAATAAATGTAAGTTTTTCGTTTTGGGTATGGAAAGATAAGTTTTGACTGGGGACTTTTATACCCCAACTCCCATGGCTTTGTGAAAAACAACATGTAAAAGAATAGTGTCCGACCTAACATTACCACACGAAGCAAGGTGTGGTATTCAATAGATATAATTATTTAGATTACAATTATTTTTTTTTTTCTAACAAAAAGAACAGCATCTCTCCCAGTAAAATTGCTTGAATATCCCCATTCGATAAATAAATTTTCATTCACATTCTTAAAATTACATTTTAAATACTCCCATTTTTTAAGGGGCCATTGGCCCCCCTACAAAAATGTTGCCATATAAAGTCGACCACACGTTCATTATTATGACGCACTATTTCGCCGTAAAATGGTTCTGAGTTTGATTTGTTGAAGTTTTTTCATTGATCATATGCATAACCAAATTTTAATTTTTTGGTCCCCCCTTTGGTAAAAGCTGCCTACGCCGTTGTTTTCTTAGGTCTGAGAAAGGATGATTTTATTTATTCTTTGGAATTTTCCCCCTGTCCACAAGCTACATAAACCAAACTTTGCACACTCAATCTATTGAATAGATTATATATTCGCTGAAAAGGGAAGGGCTCAGTAGGAGTAAAGTAAAAGACAATAGTCGCGGACCGCCGTGCGTCTGTTCGCTTTAGAGTTTTATTGGAGACTGACACTTTTGCTATACATATTCTTTATGCTTACATTCGTATGCAACAGTGACAGATAACTTGTAGATAACATAAGATTATTATCTGCTTATATTAACATGCGTGCATTGGTACTTATGTTTGTATTGATTTTCAACACCCTTCCTCAATGCAAACATGTTTTACAAAAATTTTCAAATCAAATTTAACAGCTTTGTAAAATGAACATGCTTCGCTTTAGGGAGATTTTTCGTTAAAATATCAGCTATCATTTCATTGGTTGATGTATACTGTAAAACAATTTGTTCTTCGTTTACAACCTGTCTTGCAAAATGATATCTAATATCAATATGCTTTGTTCTTTCATGGTGTACAGGATTCTTAGCTAATTGTTGAGCACTTAAATTATCGCCATGAAGAATAGTTGGAGTACTCGAGTCACCGCAGCCAATCTCCACTATAAGACGCCGTAGGTATATGGCCTCCTTACACGCAGTTGAAAGAGCCATATACTCCGCCTCCGTGCTGCTAAGTGCCACGCTGCGTTGCTTTTCAGATCGCCAGGATATGGGTCCTCCAGCCAAGTAGTATACATAGCCAGTATACGACTTGCGATCGATGCGGTCGCCACCCCAGTCTGCATCCACATAGCCGGTAAGGGGTTGTCCACACTCTTTGTAGTGCAACTTCAGGTCCACAGTTGACGCCAGGTATCGAAGCACATGTTTTACACCCACTAGGTGCTCTGCATGCGGATCTTGATTCCGTTGAGCTAACTTGGCAACGGAATGCAATATGTCTGGCCTTGTTGTAAGCGCCAGCCACATTAACTCGCCAATTGAAGACTGGTAGGATGCAATGTCA